CGATGTACCTTAAGCCGATTTTTGGCGCTGTCCCCACACCTCCGAAGGTTGATGGGAGAAACACTCCTGTCAACTTTCCTTACTCCTTGTGACTGCAAGGAGTACCGCCCTAATAGTTTATAAAATTAATATTGGTTGAAATGTTTGCCATTTTCTAAACCATTATCAAGGCCTTGAATTTTGGGTTATTTCCATTTACATGAAAGTTTAAATTCCACTTAATGTATCCACCTCATTGTTCTACTTAATGTTTTTTATGGAAGGATGATTGAACTCCTCAGCATGTAATATGATATAAAATCTTTAGCCTCCAGCAAGATTTTAGTTAAAATCCAGGTCGGATCAGATGTGACAAAAGTTATTTTTAGCTGATGGCTTTATTTGGTTTCTCTGCAATGAGTTGGTAATCTCATCTAGTTCCCGGAGAATGTAATCATGTTACAGTATTTCCAGCACAAGTAGCACTACTTGAAATCCTTGCTGAGAATCTTAGCAGAGAGGTCTCAAACTAAATAGTAATAGAGACTGAACTGCCTTCTGTCCCTTAGTGATTCCTCCACAATGATTGTTAAGACAAGTTAGTACAGGTTGAATCTCTTTAGTTCAGAACTCTCTGGTCCAGAAACATCCGTTGTCCGGAATGATTTTAGTTAGCTGGATGTCCACTTTTCATGGGTGTGGCCAAGTTTCCCATGGTTCCATAACATTTGTTTATAGCTACCAGTCCTGGCTCTCAGTGTTCTGTGCTGTTATTTAGCTCTAATTTATCCCTAAATGTCCTCTTACAGCTCAGTAAGCAGTGGAAGTGTTGTTCATGCTGCTAGACAATATTGACCTCCACTCGTCCAGAAAATTCTCTCATTCAGAACTGGTCAGGTCCTAAGAGTGCTGGATTCAAGAGGTTCAACCTGTACAATATTAGGAGGAAGCTTTTTCTGAAGGTGCATATACAGCACCCATGGAATCTAATAACTTCTACAAAGATGTGAAATAACTGAGATAAAGTAGCTAAAGAAAATTCTCCCTTTTTTCCCTTCTATTTTTTGACTTTCATTTCTGTTTCATATCATTATCCTTTTCCTTTTCCCCCATGTCTCCCTAATTCTTCCAGTCAGCATCCTTATTTCCATGAGCTACACCATCAAGAAATAGTAATTTTTCTCACTGATTGCCAGAAGGCCACAAGGACAATATATTTTGGAGGCTGTGACGGTCTTGCCTCTCCCCTTCCTATCCGGGAGAAAGGGGGAGGGGAGGATAGGCGTCCGCCACGTCTATATCGATCCGAGTCGTCCCCGTCTTGGGACGCCCGGTGCCCCGTAAGTGCAGTCCTCTAGCCGTCCGGCGTCGAGTGCTCCTCCTCCGGCACGTTCTCCCAAGAGGAGGGGGGAAAAGGGGGGCCCGGGCCCGCCTTCACTCACGGGCCCCGGCCCAGGGCCCTAAGGACTCCGACTGACTACCAGTCGTGGTCCGGCTGACGGGGGTGTGCCCCTAAACGCATCAGCCCACGGGCTACCTCACCGCCCTGCCCTGGGCCACTTCCTTTTCTCCCCTCGGTGGTCCTTACCCCCAGCGGCGGTGCGTCTCAGCGGGGCAACAGAGCGGGGGGGTGTCACGGTCCTTTCAGGCGAGTAGCGTCTCTCCGTGCTCTCCCTCCTTTCCTTGTGTGGCTCGGCGGTATTTGACCCTCCCGGTGGGCCGGCCCCCACCGGTGGTCGTCCCGCCCCCCTCCCCGGTTGGGGCCGTTGATTGGCCTCTCGGCCCGTCCGGGCTGGCCCCTGCACCTTTCCGGCGCAGGCCGGGTGC